TTAGCTAGTCAAGTAATCGTCAGTATAAAGCTTTTCAATATTTAAGACATCATATTTATAGCCATGAAAAGGTTATAATAGCTATAAATAACGAAGAAAATATTTCATATTGTTCAAATGGCTATTAGTTTATAAATAGCAATGGTTTTTATAATCATCCACGAGATTTTTAACCACTGTAGTATGTTAAAATGACTGCGGAGTCTTTTAATCGTTATCCAAACTTCAAATACGTACAACAACTTAAAATAAACGTGGAATGTCTTAATAATCAAAGCAAAACTTGAAGTAGTTGTAGAATGAATAGGTATCTACAGGAAACCATAAAGTGGATATAGAAAATCATTAAGTAGCTATAGGAATTCATTAAGTAGCTGTAAAAAACCATTAAGTAGCTATAGGAATTCATTAAATAGCTGTGGAATCATTAAGTAGCTGTAGAAAACCATTAAGTAGCTATATGAAATCATTAAGTAGCTATAGGAATTCATTAAATAGCTGTAGAATCATTAAGTAGCTGTAGAGAATCATTAAGTAGCTATTGGAGTTCATTGAGTAGCTATTAACTTTTTTTCAAAAGTATCTCTTTTGGGAAGCTACGGTCAAGGCTAATCGGCTATCCATCAGAATGTATCTTTGCTGACTGCAAACAAAAATGTAATGATAAATGGCAACAGAATATTGGCTCAACACATTCTATAATATACCCACAAATTGATTTTAGTAATGGTGTAACAACAGTTGTTCGATTGGTCTTTTATTCATACGAGCCGTTTCCTGCAGGTAAATTTTTCCATCGCTTTTTCAAGATAAAACAAGTGACGTAGTATACTCTTCATAAACTGTTTAGTCACTAAGCATAATTAGATCTTGATCAATTGTTTAAAATCTATTAAGATTTACACATTGAACAATAATTTCGGTGAACGATATACGAAATGAACTGACATTAGCATTATACGATGATTACGAGTGTAACGACAAACTAAAGAAGTAACTTTACGGCTACCTTCAGTAATGATGTTGATAAGTTATTGCATATACAGGGCGAGCCATAAATAATACGACAAAAAAAATTCAAACACCATCACTCTGGTTCAATCAAACGGGCTTTTTCTTTCTTTAGTAACAGAAATTTATACAAATTATTTTTCATACGAACGTTGTAAAGCGATGTGTCTATTAGGTTTTATGATTGAGTCCACTAACAAAAGTTTACCTGTTATTAGATAACAAAAATATATGTGATACGTTCCATAGGTATTTGTCAATAGATAACGACAAGAAAAGTTCAACACAAACTTTATTAATGATATAACATAGGTGTAAATAAAGGAAATTTTCAGAAATAATTAATTTAAAAGTCAAAAGCTACGATATTTTGAATTTTCAGGCATGGAGATACTAGTTTTTGCAATAAAGTTGATAATTGGATATTCAAAGGGCTTTAATTGTGTATTTTAATTATCACACCTGAGTGTATTTTTCTTATTTAACACATTCTCAAAGATGGGATCTACCAGTAGACCTCGCTACAGGGTGATCTAAAAGTTCTTTTAGCAGAAAAAGAATTGGATATTTCTGTCATATTTACTCATTCTTTTACCATAGATATAGAAATATTCATAGCTCACATCCATAAGCGAAACGTTAATGAAACCTAGTTCAAAGTATTACAGCTACCATAAGTAAGGAAATGGAACCCTAGATGAACTATGAAAAAACAATATTTATATCGCCGTAAATGTGTTAAATAATAGATTTGACAATTAATGTTATTACTTAATTCAGTTTTATAACCAATACGTTTAGTATTTGTAGATCCAATCATCACTACAGAATCCAGTACATCGACAACAACCGCACTGCTACAACCAGCAACGTTACAAATAACGGTAAGACAGTATAAAACGATATTGTTCGCTTATCATAGTTGAAAGATTTATCTTTCCGATACTTATCAGAATGTTAATGATTTATTTTTTCTAGACTTAATTTTTCATTTTGATATATTTCATCATTTTAAAGATAAAACAATTATTACAATGAGTGAGAGAGAATATATTCTACTAATATATTCTGATTTCTGCTAGAAAAAGTAATCAACTCAATATCAATCAAAACATTTGATTAAAAAAAGCTTGTCAGAATCTTTTTATCCTATTTAATGCATAATTCCTTATTGAATAAGATAACGATGCTACAACTGCAAAATGTTTCAAAAGTTCCTTTCTAATAATTTCTTTGTATAACTTTATTACTGAATTAATTTTTTTAATATAACAGATAAATACATTGAGTTATTATTTCTATGAGTAAAATTCAAGAGTAGAATAAAAGTTAACATCTTTAACTGGAATACAAAAATTTAGTCTGTTGTTTATTTCTAGTCAAGCATTAGGTAATATTGTCTTTTTTAATTACTTCAGTTTATTGAATTATTAGGATCTTGAAGAGTTATTTTATTTTGGTATGTTTTCAGGAAACAGTATTGAATAGTAGTAAGTCAATTTCACAGTGTTAGATGAAAAATGACAAAGAATGTCGATATTATACAATTTTGTTAGAACATAATATATTTGTATTTGACTATAAATCCACAATTATATACTTCTTAGATGATATACTCGTTCGCGTAATATTCATAGTACAAGCGATTTGTTTGCAAATGAAAGGCATCGCTTCAAATACTTGATAAGTACTTGTTATTTTGACTAAGAAGTACTAATAAAAATAATTGAGTTGAAGAAATCGACTAGGACTAATGCATTCTGTTTGTACTGAAATATTGTGAAGAGAGAAGTTGATTTTATATGACAATTTGATGCATTGAAGAATCTTTTCTAAAACACTTATATTTGTTTAGGTACATATACTTCACCGAAACCACGAGCTCTTGTTAGTGTTGATGCTAAAAGTGTTGTTGGCATTCTATTTGATAATATATCTATGGATGCGCGTGATGTAGCAAAACGTTTATTGGATGAAAAAAATGATGATTACTGGCTACAACTTGCTACTCAACAGATGCAATATACTCAAGTAAGACTTATCTTTCGGCCAACATATTACGAAGATATTGAACCACCAACTAAACGGTGTACCTTGTCGTTGACATTACCTGAGTTTTTTGAAATTAAATTTCTCTCATCACCTTATTTCGCGACTATTGATGATCATTATCTATATGTACGCAACTACACATTTCATAATATACTCATTACTGATGCTGATTCTCTTGTTGAGAATGATGATCGCCTTGCTCAAAATAAATGGTTCAATGACAGAAACATTTAATATGCCTGTTGATCCTTTTTTGGTCGTACAACGTACAGGCGTTGCTTGTATGGGTGAACCACAATGGACACCAAATTCAGCAGATGCAGAGACAACAGAAATCTTCTACGATGATACATGTGATGTAGAAGAACCACAAGCAGCAAATTTAACCGGATGTCAACAATGTCATTGTACATATCCATTACCTAATGTCTCTTGTGTTGATGCTTTGAAACAAAGTGTCGGCCATATTGAGGTATACTTCAATTTTTCTTACTTTTATTATTAAAATTTTCATTTTAGTTATAGTTTGATATTGTCTTCAAACGAATACCTGATGATCCTGTACTTGCTGATCAATGGCGTTTTCCTAAAGAAGGACCTTCGATTAATGCTTTTGGAGAAGTGGCAGCTACAAATTTATTTGAATACAAACCAGCATTAACTAATATACGCTTTATTTATCTTTATATTGAACCAGACGGTTGTGAAATCGCAGAAAAATGCGTCACAGGAAGTGGTTGACGTCGATTATTGGTTTTCTCAACAACAACACCAAACTATGTCATCGAAGATTTAAATATAGGGCAGGTGAGCTATTATGCAAATGGTGCACAATCGGAATTTATTTCAAAGCATCGAATTTTTGAATATTCTCCTTGTCATAAACATTTTCACTTTAGTCATTATGCACAGTACAAATTTGGTATTAACCAAACAATTTCACTTACAAAACGTGGATTTTGTTTGCAAACAGCCTACACTGTAAAAAAAAGCGTCGATCAATCAACGCTTGCCCTTAATTTTTTTTTCATAAACCCTTGAAGGGTTTATGGGACTGTCATAAACCTTTGAAGGGTTTATGATTCGAAGGGCTTTTGACTGCAAGGGTATTTGAATTTACAAAGGGTATATAAAGCTGTTTTAAGGGTTTTGTGTTCCGATATTTTATTCAAAGGGTTTATAATTAAACCGATAGGGATAAAATAATGTACGAATGTTCCGCAAAAGTTTATTATTTTGCAATCAAGGGTACATTATTATACGACTTAGAAAAAAGGGTTTCGTATTCTACAATTAATGGTAGATTATTCTACACTTTCAGAAGAAGAGTTTATTATAATACGTTGAAGGATAGATTATTATATCATGTCGTCAAGGGGTATATTATTCTACGATCGAAGGTAGATTAATGTATACCTTTATAGGAAACATTTATGATAATACGTTAAAGGATACATTACTATATGATACCGTCCAAAAAGGTATATTATTCTACGATCGAAGGTAGATTAATGCATGCCTTCATAGGAAACGTTTATGATAATACGTTAAAGAGTACTTTACTATACGATAACGCCCAAAAAGGTATGTTATTCTACGATGGAAGGTAGATTAATGCACACTTTCATAGGAAACGTTTATGATAATACGTTAAAGGGTATATCACTATACGATACCGCCAAAAAGGTATATTATTCTACGATCGAAGGTAGATTAACACACGCCGTCATAGGAAACGTTTATGATAATACGTCAAAGGGTACATTACTATACGATAACGCTCATAAAGGTGTATTATTCTACGATCGAAGGTAGATTAATGCACACTTTCATAGGAAACGTTTATGATAATACGTCAAAGGGTACATTACTATACGATAACGCCTAAAAGGGTATATTATTCTACGATCGAAGGTAGATTAATGTATACTTTTATAGGAAACATTTATGATAATACGTTAAAGGATACATTACTATATGATACCGTTCAAAAAGGTATATTATTCTACGATTGAAGGTAGATTAATGCATGCCTTCATAGGAAGTGTTTATGATAATATGTTAAAGGGTATATTACTATACGTCGTCAACAACAAGGTTTATTATTCTCTTATAAAGGGTAGATTGATATGTGCTGTAACAATCGATCGTTTAATAAGCTATCTTTGCATTTGAAAATGATACAATGGGTTTCGAAGAGTATATATGAGGATGTCGTTGAGTCTTCGAGGGTTTACAATCTATTCTGTGAGACCAGAGTGATTTTGAAGCGTTTTTACGCTGAAACAAAGGTAAGAAAACGATTTTTCTTTTTGGAAAAATCGATTTCTGCACTTCATTGACTTGAAATTCCTTATTTGAACTAAAAATAATTAATTTTTTGGAAAGCGTAAAAAGCGCACTTTTTATATCCCAAATCACGTTTTTCTAACGACTTTTGTGTGACTGTATAAAAGGATTTATTGTAGTGGCAGTGTATCTGAGTAAGAAAATTTGATGATCACTATTTCAATATTCAGTAGTCTATGTTTTCATCGAAACCACTTATTAATAAACACATCAAGGTAGTTTATCCCACGCTGTTAATAAAAAAATTAAAGGGTATAATTATTTTATATTAGATCCACTGGCTAATATAATCGTTCAATAATTTCCCAAGAACTGTGTCATTATGAATAAACGTGACAGTGACGATTGAAAATATCCCTAATTAATATCTTACAATCTCTCACGATAATCATTAAACAGATGGGCAGTCATCAATCAGCACATATTTCGGTTGTTTTAGAATGATTCCTACGTCTAATACGATGCTCTTTGATAATGAACAGCAAGAAATGTAAAACTAACGCGGATCATTATTCTCATAGATCGATTAATTATTGTTTCAAAACCTATTTCAATGAAGATTCAAATTTTTCAAAACAACAACTAAAATGTCTGAAAATTCATTTCACTTTTTCTCGACCAAACTTCCGTTTTTTCTAATGAATGTTACCATCGTGAAATAAACTTCGAAACAATATGATGAAATAAGAATTGCATAATTATTGAAATTGCTTTATTGAAACTGTATTTGAGATTTTTTCTCTGAGGAACCTCACTTTGTGATAAATGTTGCTTTAAAGAAAATCAAAAACTAAGTTCACAGGAAGCTTTGTCATAAATCATTCGTATTGTGCTTAGTAAAAGCCAGCATTGGTCGTCATTCAATTAAAATTTCAATGTTAATCAAAATAGTTCCAACTTAAGCATTCATTACCGGTACTACCATTATCATCACCATATTATTTAAATACTACGTTTGAACAAGTGAAATATTTTCTCTAATCTAAAAGTGACGTAGAATTAAATACGAAACAAGTCATATCAGATTTTTGCGAATAATTTTTCTCTTTAAAATTAACCAAAAACATCAGTTAGTGTTTCCTCGTTCTTAGTCAACATGTTTTATTTCGAGGCTGCCAACGTACCAATAGAAATTTAGATTTCAATCATCAGACTCAGCATGGTAACATTGCTAATAAGAATACTTATTCAAGGCGCATTTTAAGTTATCTCTTTTTCACTACCTAATTTCAAATCAGTTTACAAATACTTCTATACTATTGAGTCGAGAAATATGATCTGCATCAATGATTCATAGATCATCTCTCTGCTTTGAAAAATAAAGAGGTAATAAATTGTGGCTTTCAAGTAACATATTTGATGACTTTCAGAACCTCTGATTTTTGTAGGGATAGCAAGCCATAATATGTTTCGTATGAGAACAGTGAAACCTGTTTTCAGAAGTTCAATATTCAATCAATATAAGTTGTGAAAATTCGATCCTAAGGACAAATACTTCTAGGTTAAAATCTAGCATTTTTTTAATGAAAAGACGAAACAATTTCAATCTGAACAAATGTAAACACTTGTTTACTCAAAAGAATTGATTTTTTGTGTATGCCACACAGTTAGCTCTTGCAACGAACACATTTTAGCTTAATTTTAATGTGAAAGAAAATAACTCGAATAAACACCAGTTCTATTATTTCGAAACTACAACTAATTACTATTCCATTTTCCAAGATAAATAAATGATTTATCCATCATTTTTGGGAGAAAACATTTTTCAGCCCAAAAATATAACAACATCTGTATGTCGATTTGTAACTCTATTATCAAAACAAATGAAATTTGCCACGTATCTCAATTATTCTTATTATAAATATTGACTGTATCATTATTTTGCGTGATGTCACTATGATACTTCAATTCAAGTCCAACAAACCATAAGATTGAACTAATTCTATCAAAATTATGAAAACAATCATTTAAAAAACCTACTGATTCTTGTTTGTTCATATAAGTTTCGAAAAATTCAGGTGGAGATCAACATGCACGGTAAAAATTAACAATTACCGACGACAATCACGAATAATGATACAAACAAGTCTTGTTCTTCTCTTAAACTGTTCTTATCAATCTTGAAGTCATGGTTCCCGATCATTTTAAAAACTTCCAGGAGATAAAAGTACCGCGGAAAATCCTAAAATTCTTGTCGAAAGCACCTTATTTGAGCTTCTGATGAAGACTAATACAAGACTTAAAACTGTTGACTTTCTTCAAGCTTCTGTTTCCAAAAAGTGTTTTCCTTGGAATTTCTTCAAAAAAGTAACCGCTAATACTTGAACGCTGCGTTTCTACAACATATGCTAAGAGATGTTCAAAAATATCGCAGAAAGTAGAACATATTTTCGAATTTTTTTGAGGGCTAGATGTCTTTAGTTCTCTCAGATCGTAAGCCTGTTTAGCATCTCTAACACAAGAAAGACCAGTATCATCATTGATCATACTTCAATTTTTTCATATAGAGAAATTTCAACGAAAAACTGAAAATTCGCAATTTTTTTTGAGAAATTCTTCGTTTCCATTGAGATCATGAAAGATACCTAGGAGAAGTCATAGCTACAAACCTTACCATATAATCAACTAGTTCCAGTGAATTTTGCTCTTTCCAATGTACCTATCGATAACTAACATAATCATTTCATACGTCAATTTCTTTCTGTTGAATGAAACAAATGACAGCATTTCAGCGTAACATCAATCTATTATTTCTCAACAAACTCGACCTTTACATCTAACACAACAACCTCAACAAAGTATTCTTAAGCTCATGTGCCTTCTTGTCCTTTGAAGTTATTCTCGGCAATATCCTTGTTTTCAAGATAGGATAGCCAAATAAAAATTCCAATCGTTCTTTTATTATTGCAGCTTCAACAAACTTATACAATGAATTTTCACGTATCGCGCTGTATTTCTCTGAACAGTTTCCTCCATTTCATTTCCGTAAATAAATGTACTTCCGTTCTCCCAAATCTATCCTTCACTCAGCGGTGAACTGCTTCGGCTCAACCTTGTTGTCTTTGACTTCGGATGCAGAAATATTCACTGTTATGTTACTTCATTTCTTTGCTATTGAGAAATATCATAGAAAATATCTTCAAATCATACAATGCCTTCATCTTTATAAACCTTTCCTTTCTTCTTTAAATGTGCCAGATAGAACAGACATTTTCAACCTCGCAGCTTTTTTTCTAAAATCAATCTGTATCTCTCAACATTACTTCATCAAAAGCGTAAATAAATAAGCACACCTTTCGTTACAACATCATTTTGTTCCCGGGGAGAGAAAACCAAAACTTTTAAACGTTTTCCACAATTTAATGCAACAGAAAATTTCTGTTTTTAATACA